TCCCTGCCCAGCCTCCTTATGCCAGTGCCAGTGGGCCGTGGGGCGGCTCCAGTTCAGAAGGAGCAAAGCAGGTGCTTCTGTGCCCTGCCCCGGGCCTGAGCCGCACTCCTGCCCTCTGCGCCTGGGTGCAGACACAGGGCCTGTGTGCGGCTCGGCCGCCCTCCCTCCGCCAGGGCCTCACGATGGGTTTCCGGGGCTGGGCCGGGGTCGGGGGAGGGTGAGCCCTGCCACGGGCTGCTGCTTCTGGGAGGGGGCCTCCCCGAAATCCCAGGGCTCCCCGCTCCCACACAGGCAACTCCTCTTCCACCTGGGCCTCCTGGTTGAGTTCTCTGGCTCCTGCAGTCAAATGCACTTGGCTCTTTTTCATTCTTAATCCCAAGAATGCGCGCTCTACCCTGTTCTAGTGGCGCCCACTCAACCTCCCAGCCAAAGGGAAGGTGGTCGTGGACTTCTCTGCCATTCCCCCGAATAACCACACAGGATCGCAGGCCATTCGGCTAGCATGGGGCCTTGGAGAACGCCCGTTCCAAACTATCGTATGGGGGGGGGGGGGAAACTGAGGCCCAGGTGAGGGCGGCCGACTTGCTGGGGCTCGCGCAGCAGGGAATGACAGCACAGGTGCTGCTGCTAAGTCGGGCCTCCGCTCCCGCTCGTTGGCTGCGTCAGGCAGGCTGGCCGGCCCGCCAGCCGCGTGTCATTCTTTTCTGTTTCCTTCTCTTCCTGAGGCCTTCTCTTCCTTTCTTTTTATATTAAAATATTTCCTTTTCCTTTTGAAATGTCCTCTCTGTGTTAAGCAGGACAGCTCACATGTGGTGGCGCCAAGGGGGCGCTCAGAGCCTGGACCTCTGTCCTAGCAGTTTTCCACAGTCCTTTCGAAAGGGTCCTCTCCTTCCTGGCCCCTCGTGCCCCAGGCCCCTCAGCGACCCCATCTTCCCTTCTCCCTGAACCAGGCTCTTCGGCTCCTGTTTCTCAGATCAGTTGGGAACCCTGCAGGAACTGGATCCTCGCTCCAGTCTTAGTTTCCTGTCTCTAAACTGGGAAGGGGCTCCCTCAGAACGGGAAATATGTATGGGCATTTGTGTGTGCCTACGAACCTCACGTGTCTCCCATCAGCCCCTGGGGCTAAATGTGAAAGGTAATTAGCACCAGGATGAAAGGTGCTGTGGGATAATTACAGGGAATATCAGGACTGCTGGGAGGGTGGGGCAGGAGGCCCCTGGGCTTCTGGGGGGTGGGCAACCCCTCGCCCCTCGCCCCCTCGCCCCTCTCCTGCGCTGAGATCAGACACCTGGAGCAGCGAGGGGGGTGGGGGAGGGAGCATTCTGAGTGAAGGGTCTTTGTCTTTACAGGGAAATGCTTGTTAGTTGCTAAGGAACTGGGTTGTCTCTCCTGATCCAAGCCACCCAATGTTTTGCTGAGCTTGGGAGGGGGATGCTGGGCTGGGGCTTGGTCCTTTGATGGGTCTCTTGAGAAGGACTCTCCTCTGGGGAAAGTGACTCTTTCCCATTACGAGCCAGAGAGCAGAGCAGGTGAGGTGGAGACAGGAAAAGAGGGGAAAACTTGCATTTGCCGAGCAGCCTGCATGCCAGGCGTTGCGCCTGGGCGCCTTCCGTGCTCTCTCACTTAACCATTGCAACAGATCTTTGAGGAAGGCTCTCATTTCCAATACATTTTTTTTTTTTTTTACTACTTTTGTAGTTGAAACAGCGGCCCAGAGCAAGGAAGTTGCCCGAGGTTACAGGGCTATCAGGGGGTAGAGATTCGATGTGAATTTAGGTATGCTAGGGGAGAAAAGCTGTGCTTTTTAGACTACACCACCTTATGCATTTACCAGGCTCTATTCCTCTGTCAGGGCTGCTCGGCCCTGCTGCCTGGACCCTCTGCCGCCACCGCCGCCGCCACCATGATCACCATAGTCACCACCGCCGCCGCCGCCGCCGCCATCAGGAAGCCTTCCTACAAGGCTCCCCCCACCCTTTTTCCACTCCCTTCCTTCCCTCGGAGCAGTTATCACACGAGAGGGAGGGGGTGGTTCCGTGGGTTGAGGGTGGTAAACTGTTGGGGTAGTTCCCCTGGGCAGGGGGGGTGGGGATGGTCATGACCTTGAGCTGGGCGGGGCCATTGCTGGGAGTGTCCAGGAGCTGGCCCTCCCCACAAGTCACACTTGGTTGAAGACTAGCTGAAGCTGAGGGAAGGGAAGGTGCTTGGGAGAGACAGTCCCTTAAATTCTTCTGGAACTTTCAGCCTTCACTCTCGGCCCTCCTGGCATCTGAGTAAACAGAAGGCCTGACTTTATTTTCTGTCGCCCAGAGAGCAAACTTAGAGTACTCGTGGCCTCTGAGTACTGAGTGAGGAGCCTTAAATTAACCCCAGATTTCATCGTTACTAGTTACAGAACAGGGAGTAGCTTCCCTAACTTATCAGAATGTCAGGCTCCTCCTCTATAAAAGGAGAACAACAACACCTACATTATTAGGTTGTTGTGACAATCGAATGAGAGAATATGTACGAGGGCCCGTGGGCTGTGAAGCTGTGCAGAAAAGAACTAAACAAGGGGCCACATGTTCGGCGTCTGGCACAGTTCCTGGTATGCAGAAGGTGTCTGATAATGATGGTAGAAGTATCAGTCCTCTTTATCCCTGTGGAGGGGACACTAATGCGCTCATATGCAATGTCCTTCTTAGCTGCTGCGTGAGAGATCTCAGCAATCGACACGCTCACTTTGTTTCTTCTGGGAGGAGGCAGTGAGAAGGACCCGGGCCCCAAGTGCTGCGCAGGCAGAGCTGAGTCAGGGGTGGGTTTCCCTGAAGTTGCTTGGCCTCCAGGTTTTGTCTCCCTGCCACTGGGACCTCCTTCTCTGTGGCTTCCAGGGGCTGTCTGGCAAGGCTGTCTGCAGCCTCGAGCCCGGGCCAGCTTTGTTCTTTTTTCACATTTTGGGGCCAGGAGGGTGGGGGTCTCTCCTGGAGCTGAGCGAAGAGCCCAAAAACACCGGGGGAAAAGAAAGGAGGGGGGAAAAAGGAAGGAAAGCAAGCCGATAATTTCCTCGAAGGATAAACATCCGATTTTTTTTTTCCTCACCCAAAATAAACAGGCTAGCCACAAGGAATTAAAAGCAGAAGAGGGGAGGATGTATCTCCACCTGGGGCTGCTCTAGGAAGCTGACCTGCCATTTAGCCCAGACTTGGGCCCAACCGGAGCTGCCAATTACACTCTGGGGCCGCGGGGCGGGGGATGCGGGGAGTGTGAGGTTCGCAGACACCCACAAAGTCCCTTCCGAGCCTGCTTTCCATGACACTGCAAATGGACACTTCCTTTTGTTTCTTCTTTTAGCTCTGCTGGCAAACTCATCTGGTGGGGTAGAAGGGAGTAGGAGTTCCTATTGCCCGGGCGGGCATCAAAGGACCTTCTCCAGGACGAGAACTGGGTGTCCCTCGCTTAGGCACCGGGAGCTGAATTTATCCATGGCGGGGGAAGCATGGCCCAGTCCCCTCCCTGTTCACACATGCGGTCTCTCCCAGCTCATTGTCTTCTTCAGATGCCACCATGAGAGTCTTCCAGGTACCCAGCGGTGCTCAGCTGGGCTGAGGGGCTGGCCGGGGCCCCTCTGCCTTCCAGCTGGTGTGGGTCCCGGATCTGAGAGGGCAATAATGCAGTGCTCGGCTGCAGCCTGCCCCTTCATCTGGGGATTTCAAGGCACTTGCACATATGACTCACCAGCATTGCTATCCTCTAGCCAAGGAAGGCTGCGGTGGGGCGGGGGGGTGGGGTGGGGTGGGGGGTGGCCATTAACTCTTGGAGGGACACTGAGCAGAGATTGGGGGCACTGAGAGGACTGGATTTGGGAGTGGGGAGCTGAGATACTCTAGGCTGTGAATGAGACCATAGTTAAGAGGTACCTCTGAGGGGTCCTTGGAGGGAAAGCCAAGAGATATTTGGAGGACGTGCAGGGAGGTAGACACCAAAAATCCTTTCCGTGCAGAAACCAAGGAGTTCTTCACAGCTTCCTACAAGCACAGACCAGGTTATGCCTCCTCTCTCCCTCCAATCTACACGTCGCTGCACGATTTCCCACGGCTTTCAGGGTACAGTGCAAACCTTGAGCTTGGCTGTGAGGCCTGGCATGTTCTGGTCTTTGCTTACCTTTCCAGGGGGCCACCACTGGCCCTTTGTTCCCTGGGCCCCTGGGGTGGGGGTGCGGGAAGTGTGAGGCTCGCAGACACCCACAGAGCCCCAGGACCAAGGGTGGAAGATGCCGCCCTTGGCCCTGGAAGCAGTGGAGCACGGAGGTGTTCCTTCTATTTGGCAAGCTCTCCACCCCTGTACCCACTCATAGTTAACCTCTACCCTGCTTTTCAGCCCTGAGGTTAAACATCGCTTCCTCTGAGAGGCCTTGCCTGACCCTCCTCCCCCATCATAAAGCAAGTCCGCTTTGCACCCTCAGAGCACTTGCCACATATGCTGTAATTTGCTTGTGGTCACCTGATGAATCGCCCCCTCCCCTCCTGGGTTCATGAAGCGAGCCTCCTGTTTTGCTTGCCCTTTTCACGTGTGGATCCCCTGCACCTAGCAGAAGGTCAGGCACATAGTAGGTGCCCACAATAGTTGAATGGTGTTCAATGTTGGAGCCGGAAAGGGCCACAGTGATAAGCCAGCCGCCCCTACCTCTTCGTCCTACGTCAATTTTACCTCTGAGGAAGCAGAACTTTAAAGACGGTGAGTGACTGGCTCAAGGTTGCACAGCGCACCTCAGTGACAGTTCAGGGATGGGGATCTCCACCTCCTGCCTGTCTTTTTATACCCGCCCCCCACCCCCCACCCCACCAACATGCCCTTTTGCACCTGTATTTACAGGCCCCACGTGCTGGGCATTGATTGATTTCCTCCCCTTGGTGTTTGAAGGAGGACAGGCTAGGAAACAAAACATCCAACCACTACGACCTGGATGATTTTTTTTTTTTTAAATTTGGAAGAAAAGGACTTCCATACCCAAAGGTGTCTCCTTACCCAGACCATAGGCAGTGGGCAATGTGGATGCACACCTGCAAGACTAAGCCTGAGACCTGTTTGGATTTGTATTGGGGCTCACTGCTCTTGTCCCCGGGACCCTCGGCACTGTCTCCTCCCCCTCCTCCCGCTCCCCCTCCTCCCCCTCCCCCTCCTCCTCCTCCTCCTCCTCCTCCTTCAGGAGCCCGGACGGGTGGCGAGTCATTTTGATTTTGGGTCATGAACTGGGTGGTTGCTTCTGGTATGCCCAGGTTGAAGCGGCGCAGAAACTGGTCCAAATTCCAAAGACCTAGAAGGACAAACAGACCACAGGGAGGCCATGAGAGAGAACCACAGACTGGGGAGGTGGCAGGGTGAGAGGGAGGCCAGCTCTGGGGGAGTGGAGACAGCAGGTGACGCGTGGCCATTGGGCTGAGTACCTGCGTGTCACTCTGGCTCCTAGATGCAGGGACATCCTTGGATGTTAGCAGAGTGCCTGGGAAGGGGCTGTTCCCCAGAAGACAATAGGGACTAGGAATCTGGACTGAGTCAAGAGCAGCCGTTGGTCTCCATCCCCAGTGCCCTTGATTTAGCATAATTCTGCGTTCTCATGCACACGCAGAAAGGAAACGCCCAGTCAGGTGGTCTGCGCGCTTCCTCCACCCACCCCTCTCTTCCTGCAGGCTCTCTTGACCCCATGACCGAGGCGTTCATGCTTCTCCTCTTCACACCTGGTCACCCTGGCCACGGGGGCTGACAAGGCAGAAGTGCCTGGGCCATTCATTTACTCTCCTCTCCAGATCCCCGGCCACAGCCTCAGAGCCAGGAAAGGAGCCCTGGCGGTGGCAGAGGTCAAGGAGAAGGGGGTATAGCCAGGGCCCCTTCTCCCTGCCCCGGAGCACCCAGACCCTGGAGGAGAGCTGAGTGTGGGCGCGACGTCTCCAGGTGGGGCCTGGAGAAGCCCAGTCGGCGCCCAGGTCAGAGGGCCCTCCTCGAGGGGAGAAAACACAGGGGCATTGAGGGAGGGGCATCTTCTGGGGCAGGTGTGAACAGGCCTCCTAGCAGAGCAGGGAGGGCACAGCCCAGGGCACTGGGGAGAGGCCAAGGGAAGTGGTCAGAGGCATATTCCCACGCTCTTGTTTCCCAAACCTCGGGGCCTCAGGCACCCTTGGCAGATGGTTGCCAGAGAAAATACAGGACACCCAGTTCAATTGGAATTTTAGATCAACAACAAATAATTTGTTTGTGCATGTTTCACGTATTGCATGGAGCAGTCTTACAGTAGAAAATTATTAAAATTATTTCTTGTTGATCTGAAATTCCAATTGAACTGGGTATCCTGTATTTTCTTTCCTCTCCCCCCCCCCTAAATTGAGCCCCTTTTCCTGCGTGGAGGAACTGCTCAGGGAACACTTGTCCAGAGCAGAGCTAGGCAGGGGCAGGTCCGGCCTGGACCGATGGGGGCCGGGGGCGCACAGAGAGAACAGGGTGAGGGGCGGGCGCCCTCAAGGCCCTCCCAGAGTTGCCCACTGGCCTGCCGTGGTTCTCGGCTTGCACCCACCACCCTTTAGTGTTCTGTACTCCACTTGCCCCCCCTCTTCACAGCGGCCGTGTGCATTTCAAAGATGTTCTCCAGGGGAGGACGATTTTTAACCCAAAGAAACAAAATAATAACAATGATAATGCAAAAAAACCCAAATAAACAAATAAATACTAATAGCAGTAAGTGACATGGATGTAGTGCTTTCTATGAGCCAGGCATGGTTCTGGGAACTCCACACACATTCCTTCAGTTACTCCTCACGAGGAGAAATGGTGTTTCTCCCCAGTGCACAGGTGGAGTTCTGCTGAGGTTGCTTCTCAGGGGTGATGGGGAAAGGGCCTCTTCAGGTTCCTTCTACTCCTGTCGGGCCCATGGCTGTGCGCCCAGGCTGGGCTGGAAAGCAGCGGTTTCAGGAGTCCCCCTGGGGCTGCAGCAGTGGGCCCTGCAGAGAGCCTCCCCCGTCAGACAGGCTGCTGCCGGCCTGGGCGGGGTGTCACGGACGCTGGGGGGTCTTCCACGAGGAGGACTGCCCATGGCCTTACACTCAGGGAGGCTGGCTGGCTGGGAAAATATTGTGGTTTCACAGCGCTACAGCCCTTGGAAAGCATGCGCATGCAGGTGGAAGCACAGATATGTGTATGTGTGGATGCTTGTTTGTGTGCATGCCTGCATGTGTGTGCGCGCGCACATGCACAGGCCAGGGGCAGGGCTCCGGGTGAACTGGTGTGTGGCCGGCATGGGGACAAGGGGGCCTTCCCCACTGAGTAGCGCAGGAAGGAACTTGGGTGGCAAGGAGGGAATTGAAACTCATCACGAGATCAGGGCAAGCGGCGGAAAGAAATCCCCTGCCCCCCGAGGGAGACCTCGCGCCCTCGGCAGCGGCATGCCCTCCCGAGCTCAGACGGCTGCTCCAGTGGGCTGGAGGGCCTTGGCGGCCTCACAGCTCCTTCTCTGGCCTGTTTCCGGCCGCCCTGTGGTTCTTGGGCTTCTTGGGCCGCTCTTTAGAGCAGCCCGCCCGTCCCTCAGGGGAGCGGGGACGGTGCCACTGGCCGCTAGCCTCCTGCTGCCTCCCCCCCGCCGCCGGCTTGGCTGTGACTCCTTACACCCCCGTTTCCTGCCACAAAGAGCAAGAGGAACTGACCCTTTGAGTTCTAGAAGGAATGAGGGTGAGTCAGGCCCTCAGGGGGGTGTGGGGAGAGATGGGGATCTTGGAGGCTGTGGCTTCCGTGGTCACCACGTGGAGGAAAGCCCCATGCTCTGTGGCACTGCGGGTCCTCGGAAGAGTGCTGGGCTGCTCTCTGAGCCCGGGGCCCCTCCCCTTGCCCCCTGGGCCCACCCAGGACGAGCTCTTCCTGGGACAGGGCAGGGGTGGTGCGTGCACTTCAAAGGCCTCTGGCTGGAGGGAGAAACAAGCAGGGTATCTGATGTCTGCCTCCTGAGCCACCCAGTGACTGGATATAGAGGTCTGGTCTCCTTAGGACGGGGCTGCCATGGAAGATGAGCAGGTGGGACCCTACACAACCCTATGGGGCACCGTTTCCATCCTGCAAAATCAGACTCAGGCTTCTTCTCACCTACCAGTTGGTGCTGATAGGGAAGGTGTTAGTCGTGAGAGGTTGGGTGTTAGAGGTGTCACGGAAGTGGGCCAAGGGGAGACTTAGGGAGCCTTATCTAAAACCATCAGGGGTCCTGAGCCACTGCTGAGTGCCTGATCTCTACCCCAGACACCAGAGGGAGCTGGGGGTGAATGACCCTTGTCTTCAACAGCTGGGAGAGGGGCCCCAGGCTTTTGGAAGCTCATCTTCTGAATTGGAGTTCTAGGGGCTAGAAAGGCCGGAATGTTTGGGAATAGCCCCAGGGTAGGTCCGGACCATCCCTGTCTCCACCCCCAGCTTCCCAGATCTGCTGGGCTCACCGCTGTTTGGGTCCATTACAGGGAGGACAGCCCCATTGAGCCCATTAAAGCCACAGAGGCAGCCACAAGACAGAGAAAGCGATGCTGCACCTTGTCAAGCAGCCCCCTCCCTTGTAGGACTCAGGAGAATGGGGTAGACAGCTCTTCCACTCGAATGTGGAAACTCCAAGCTGAAGAGAACCTCAGACACTGGGGCCTGGGCCCCCGGCACTGACGGCTTCCCCCTGGGGGCCGCTAAGCATGGAGGGGTGGAGCTGATCCATCCAGGCCCCACCCTGGCCCTCTACGAGTTCATAAGACAATTAACGCTGGACTAACGAGCTAGACCTTCGAAGCCTGGCCTTGGCCGGCAGCACAACGTAGCCCTCCGCACCCCCACAGACAAGGTCCCACCCCTAGCAGCGCCCCCAGAGTGTCTCCAGCAGGCCCACCCTTAAGACTTCTCAATGGCATAGGAGAGTGTTCCCTGGGTGTCATTACTTACTCTCGTCAAGGGACATTGCCCATCTGTCCTGCCACTTGGTTCTTACTAGGCCCAAAAGTATCTATCTCCCTCTCAGCCTGAGAAGCGGGGATCAGGGAGCCCTCACTGGGAGGCAGGCCCTCATTCAGGTGGGCTCTGGAACAGGGGATGGGGTACTGCGTCTTGGGGCCACCTCCTCCAAGCCACCGTGTCCTCTGCTGGGACCTGGGGTGCCCGGCTCGCAGCTGCCCTGTCGCTCCAGGAGGGTGAGCAGTGTCTAACCCAGGTGGCCGCCCTCTTCCCTGGCCTGCCCCTCCCCCCGCCACCAGCCAGAGGCGCCGCTGCTACTTGTCAGGGGACAGTGGCCCTGAAGAAAGAACAAGAATGGAACGCCAGCTTGCAAACCGCCCCCCTGAGCGCCGGGCTCGGACGGTAATTTGTCTGGCTCTTCGCGGGGCTGGTGCAGTGATAGAAGCACCGATGCCTTTCTGCTGAGATTAATGATGTCCTGGCGGTGGTGGGCGGGAGGCCCGAGCCTTTTATTTTTTTGTGCCGTTAAATGACATCCACAGGCTTCCACGCAGGAGCTGAGAAACTCATGTTCCATCGCATCCAATTACCCCTGGCGAATATTTGCTGAGTGGCTGATCCTGCCGGCTTGAGAGGCTGGGGCAGAGGGGTCCGCATTGACTTCGGCGGGACTGAGAGGCCGGGGACGCCGGGAGAGTCCCCGAGGTGGCGAGGGGGGCCCAGCCCCTCTGGCGAGGAGAACCCGGGAGTCCTGGACAGTGGGAGTGCAGCGCTTAGTGGCCCAGTCGTTGGGTCACCCCGTCTCGGCCCTGTGGCCGGGGTGGGTGCGGGGAAGGGAGCGAGGAGAGTGGAGACGGGAAGCTGTCCCTTCACTCCCAGTTGTCATTGCAGTGTTTGGTGGGGGTGCTGGCTGGCTGGTGGTCATCTGTGGCTTCCCGGCGACGTGTTCAGTATCGCTCTGGACAGCGGGCGTTGGGCCCGGCGAGGGCCTGCTGCTCGAAGAGGGCCGCCTAGGGCCTGCGAGGGCGCGGGCAGTTCCCAGCCAGGAAGCCTCCCTGAGAGTTGCCCAGGATGGCCCCATCTGAGTTGCTGCCAGGTCCCCAGTCCTACCAGCTCTGCCAGGTGGGTGGGGCCCACGGGAGGCAGGAGAGGGCTGCCTGACACAAGCCCACACGGTGACTCAGGGGCTGGGCCCTGGGGGGGTTCTGGGGCCTGGCCAGGTGAACCACCGTGGGGGGTCACGGCGGGGAGTAGGGGCTGTTTTGCAGCGGGCTGCGTGTGTTTGCGTCTGTCTGTGTGTGTGTTTAGGGCTAGTCTCCAGGCAGGGCTCCCGGCCCTCCACTGTTGCTACGCCGTCTG